TATTATTTATCCCGCCCCTGCTCCCTGCTGATCCCAGGCCCGGCCGCCTCTCAGGGCCGCTCAGCAGTGAGCCCACCTCCGCAGCCTGCCACCCTGTTTTCCCCTTTTCCCCATTACTCACGTTTGAAAGCATCCCTCCCAACCTCACTCTGGCCTTGTTTCTCTTCATCTGTGTTCGCCAGGTGCCTCATCGCATTCTTGGGCGTCTTCTTAATCACACGTAACAGGAAGAAGGCCATTCCCTTTGAGCCCTACATTTCCATGGATGCCATGCCAGGTAACATTCACATCCAGCTGGCCAGCGCATCCACATAGAATGACCGCTACTTCCTGTTTAAAAAGAGACAACCAGCCTCTGGGTTTGGTGCAGGGAAGGTGTGCTGTGCTATTATGATGTGACTGTCTCTCTTTTTTTTTTCTTTCTGTTTTTGTGTGTGTGTGTTTTTTTTGTTTTTTTGTTTGATCTCAGTTTGCAAAAGAGGAGGCAATGGCTGAGGCACCTCGATTGGTTTTGAGCACATCTTGCCAGTTCTCATGTCAAGTTGGGGATCTTTTAAAGACAATCCTGATTCACACTGGATATAATTCTGATCTGCAGCACCAGGCTTCATGCCTGCAAAAGGAAAAATCCAGTTCATCTCAGTGGAATGGAATGATCAGAGAGGGGAAGGAAAATAGGATGAATGAAATTCAAATACTATAACCTCACTCCTTAGATTCCACAAGGGAGTGGATTGTTCTGGAGAGCCTAGTTCCCCAGGGAGCTCAGGGTTCACACTGAGAAGCACAGGTTCAAATGGCAGGAACATAAATGTGTGAAACAGCTGAGTACTGCACAAAAGGGAGTGATGGGGTTTGTAGAGAACTGGAGAGCACTTTCCAGCCTCAAGGCATTCAGATGAGAAAGTTAAGATGTTGGGCAGCCCCTTCTAGATTTGCTGACCTAAATTCTATAGGATACTAGCGGCCACCAGCTTTCATTCTTTAACTCAAATTTAATTTTTATTTTAGATATATAAGATGGAACTCTCTCCAAAGCAGAATCTCCCACCCTCCATTAAGACAGTCTTGTGAACAAAAGACAGTCACAGTGATGGAGTAGAGTACTACTGAATAAAGTACTTGGGAGGCAGGTGTGTTCTCAGGGCTGACCGAGGTACCCATGATTTAAATGGCCCCAGGGTTTATGTGTCTACTTCTAATATTATTTCTTCATCTCTTGCTGTTAAGCTGTTGTCTGTCATTCTTGCTGTTACCAGCCTGCCTGTGTATAGCAGCTCCATGTCAATCTTCTCATTTGACCTAGGTTTTTCGAATCATGTATAAAATTAAAATAAATAAGCTCTGAGTTGGGGCCTTAAGGTTTCTCCTACGAATTAAGTGCATGAGCTTTAGTGCATGGACTTTTGAAACATCTAATCTGGCTGCTCAGATGCCTTTTTTGCTTACTTCCTTGTTTCTCGGCTGTGTTCCGGATAGATGAGGGCGCTGGATAGCTGAATTCCAGATAGGTGAGGTGTCAACTCTGTGTGTGCAAGTATGTGTATGTACATGTGTGTTTGTGTGCTTATAAACCGTGTATGTGTATACATCTATATAAGTATTTGCGTATATACAGATGTGTTTTCTGGTACAAGATAGAAGGTAACCTAAGGTAATCTTAGGTATCCGCGTTCTGTGATCTGTTTGTGGACGTGGCTCTCGCTTCCTCTTTGTGCCTTGTGACCAGTGGGAAGTTGGATGTTGGAGAAAGGAGACCTGCCCTCGTGCCGTGGCATGTCAGGACTTCTGAGTAGGCCTGGCTTCTGTACTTTGAAGCTGAGCGTGGGCTTGGAGTTCAGATGACCTGGATTCAAATCCCAGCTCTCAACCACCTACCTGCTGAGTGACCTTGGGCATGTGCCTGGACCTCCCAAGGCCTCTGACCCTCACTTGTAAATTGGGATTCCTTTTCCCAGGGTAGTGGGATAATATGTTAAAGGCCCCTTGCACAATGTCTGGGACCTGGTAGATGCCTGGTTGAATTTGGTTTCACTTCGTTTTTACTTGAAAAAAGACTGTGAAAATTTCGAACACTTGTTTGACCTGATGCCAGGTAAAATACGAAGAAAACTTAAACAGACGCTTTTCCAGCTGCTTGGTTTTCCTGGTCAGCATCAGGACCTCCCTGGCTTTGGTCTAACCAGATTGATATCTTCACAACCGACTAGTAGCCACGGTTCAAGAGGCATTCAAGTTCTGAAAATTAACTACACGTCACAGTTAGGAGAGGCTTGAAATAATTCTAGCACCTGGAAGACTTCTAGAAAATGAGAAGGAGAAAAACAGTGTCTGGCAGCGAGGAGCTGGCCTGGCTCTCACAGCTGGGCCTTGGTATACCTGGCTGAATATAGACCATTTCACAGAACATCAACATCACACAAGGTCATTCTGGGACTGTGATGGATCAGGACACAAACAGGACCATGCCATTGTCATGTCCAAACACAGACAAACGTGAACATTGTCCATACCATAAAAAGACCAACCATCCCCCTCACATGAGTGACTGCTGCTTCTTTATACCAATCACAGCTTTAGTCTCCATCTAGTCTTCTTTCCTTCTAGATAACAACCATTAAGATCCCCAGTTATAGAATTATCCCCACTTCCTGACAGCATCTAATCCAAAGCAAAGCCCTGCTTCCTTAAACCCTCCTGAAATCACCTAACACAACCCAAATTCTGTAGTAAGTCCTTCTAATACCCTCTTACTGAAACAGCTCCCCGTGACGTACACCTCCTTCACTGAAATGAGTCAAGAAACCCAAATTTGTTAGACTATAGGTGTATTCCTGGTGGGTTTTGGCTGGGGAACGTTGACAAAGCTAAACTATGCCTGGTAAGCCAACTCTCTTCCCTGAGGAATAGGCATCCCCTCATCTCCTCCCAATTCCCTCCCCAAAATCTAAACCACAGACTCTTAAACTGTACCCTTCAAATTCCCATCAGCCGGGCTTCCCTGGTGGCGCAGTGCTTGAGAGTCCGCCTGCCGATGCAGGGGACGCGGGTTCGTGCCCCGGTCTGGGAAGATCCCACATGCCGCGGAGCGGCTGGGCCCGTGAGCCATGGCTGCTGAGCCTGCGCGTCCGGAGCCTGTGCTCCGCAACGGGAGAGGCCACAACAGTGAGAGGCCTGCGTACCGCAAAAAAAATTCCCATCAGCCAAGGTTTGTGCAATGTGGAAGCAAAGGCCCTTCCACAGTTTGGGTCTTCCCAGGCCATTTGCAGAGTAGATAAGAGCATGGGCTTTGGTGTCAAATCCCAGCTCTGTCTCTCATTAGCTGTGTGTCCTTGAGCAAGTTACTTTACCTCTCTGAATCTCTGTGTTCTTCTGTGGAAAAGGAGGATAGTAGCGTATTTCTGTCATAGGTTTTGGGGGGATTAAGTTCTATAGGGAGCCCACACAGCATTCTGGTTAAGAGTGTGGGCTTCAGAATTTAAACCACCTGAGTCTGCACCCTAGAGCTGCCACTTGCTAGCTTGGCGACCTCAGGCAAGTTCTTTAGCTTCCAACTGCCTCATTTTCCTAATCAATAGTTGTGCGAATCAAATGAGATAAAACTTTATAACTATTTAGAACAGTGTCTGCCACCAACTAAATGCTCAGTCCTCATCAGCCATTATCATTATTGCTGTTGTTGTTACTATTACTATTTAAAGCACTTAGCCCAGTGTGTCAGGCATAGGAAGCAGTCAGATGTCAGCTGTTATTATCATCATGGTTTCATGGAAGATAATTTGCATTCAGTTTTTTTATTACTCAACCAGGGGACAAGAGAATTTGAAGGGTCTTAATTCCCTACCAGGAAAAGAACTGGCCTCAGAGGAGGCCAGGTCCTACTTAGCTAGGGGAATTGTAGACTACATTTAAAGGAATTAATGACTAAAGTCTTTGCCCTCAAACGTAAGTAGAAATCCGGCATCAATGTGCCCAGAGGTAATAAGCAAAATCGCACCTTACTCCATATGCGGATCAGGGATGTTAATGTCAGAACTCTCCCTCTGAGCATCATAATACATGTGTCACCATCATGTATCCATGACACAAAAGTTATCGTCTTCTCTCAACAGTATAATGAAGTTTTCTGGATCCTGATTTAATTCAGCGAAAAGTGTTGGCATCTACCACGTTCACAACACAGTGCTGGTTCCACTTGCCCTGTGGCCCGGACATTCCCACCTCATTCTAAGCCAATGGTTTCCTTTGACAGTGGCTGGTCTGTGTGCTTATTTCCTGAAGATTCATCCTTTGTTGCTTAGCAACTATAATATTTCTAGTGTATATTTATGGGCGCTCTTTTTTTGTTCAATCCAAACCATTCAGGAAGTTGACAGCGCACATGCTTAGCTCCTGAGCACTGTGATTAGTCTGTGGTGGGATAGAGGAGGATGAGATGCAGCCTTCTTTGGCCCCACTGCATAATGATTTGGGGGAAATGGATTTCATTTCAGGTATGCAAAACATGCATGACAAAGGGATGACCGTCCAGCCTGACCTCAAAGCTTCTTTTTCCTACGGGGCCCTGGAAAACAATGACAACATTTCTGAGATCTACGCTCCCGCCACGCTGCCCATCATGCAGGAAGAACATGGCTCTAGAAGCGCCTCTGGGGTTCCCTATCGCGTCCTGGAACACACCAAGAAGGAGTGAGCCCACCTTGAAGGAGACTCACCTTCTCTCCATTTACAGCTGCTCAAGCCATGCTGATAGCGGTTCAACCCTTAATTCTAAAACTTGCCTTTCAAGTCTTATTTTTTTAATCCAAGAACTCTGTGGACGGGGATCTTGAAAAGCCTTTGTCTCTGGCAAAGGGTAGACTGGAAGTTTCAGATGATGAGGGTGGGGCTGGGGTTGGGGGGCTGAAAGCAGTATTCTAGGTGGGCAGTACAGAGTTCAGCTTCTGCCTGGTTGAGCCCAATGAGATTTGGAAAGCCGTTGTCATCCTTGAGGATGGTAACTGGGTTTCCCCAGTCAGTGACCAAAGGTGGCCACATTCTTTAGAGCTAAAGCAAGGCAGAGATTCTGCCCTTACTTTCCAAATCCATTGAAAGGCTGGAAACCTCCAAATCTAGTCTTCCCTCACCTTATGTGCAGGCCTGATCTCTACCCACCTCCCTCTTGATTCTGTACTTGAGATAACCTTTGTGTCGCCTTCACATGGCATGGTGAACCAGCCCTGGGTGTAACATCCTGTCACTTGCTTGAAATGCACTTGTAAGAAATGCACATCTGCTTTCTGATGGTCTGTGCCTCCCCAATGAGAGTATGCTTGATGTGTTTATACTGGATCCACTCTGAAAACTAATTCGGTTTTGGTTCTGTGAATTACTTGGTTGCTTTCTTTCCCCTCAAAGGAACTGAGAAATTAAGAGAAGAAGGGGAAGAATAAGAAAGACAGGAGCAGGGGTGATGAGCCTTCAGCCCGTAAAGGGAGAAAAATCCCTTTTCATTTTGCAAGAGGTGATTGCATCACCTATAAAGGACGGACAGACAATCTGGCTGTTGTATGTGTATTTTCCTGCACACCAGGGTCCTCTGGGAAAACCAGGGGTGCTCATTTCAGAGACAGCCTCACTCACCTCTCCTCTCTCCTCTTCCTTATAGATTGACGAACCAAGCTTGAGTGATTGGTTAACTTCCTTGAGGTCGATAGACTCTTTGGGTCCTCATCCCCATGCACATACATCTGGAAGAAGTAGGCATTCTCAGAAATGGGGCTGCTGCTGGCTGGCTGGCTGGCTGCGTACACGATTGACTTCCCCTAGACTGACTGTATGCTTTTGAGAATGGCAGGTAAAGGTCTGCAAACTTTAATGAAAATAAGGATCCCCTAGGGAGTTTATTTAAAATAAGCAGATTCCTACACCCCAACCAGAGGTAATCTGATTAAGTGGGACTGGGACCCGGCCCAAGAGTCTGCATTCTTAACTGGCGGCACAGGTGATTCTGAGGCAGGTAATCCTGCCTGTATCACACACCTTGAAAGCCTAATAACTGAAAGAGACAGTCTGCTGAAATCCTGACACACCCCTGCTGGAAAGTTGGAATTACCATTCCTTGTTTCCTCTTGGGGGTTCACTTGGCAGGCCGAATAATCCCCATAGGATCCATGGCATTTCTGCATCCAGTGATTACTTCTTAGAACTACACTTCTTGCTTCCCTAGGCAGCCTTGAACTAACTGGCAAGATAACAGTGTTAATAGACCGGTGTTGATAGATCATTAACCTTTATGGATTGTGCTTCATACTGATTTGATTTAGTACCTTGACTTCAAAACTGATGTCTGTTGCCTGTGATAACCACTTCTGTATTGTGTCTTACATGCCTAAGAAGGCAACAGACGATGACTTTTTTTTTTCCTTTAGAATAGCTATCAAAACAGTATTTATGAGGCACTTACTCTGTGTTAAGCATTTGGACAGTGAGGGCTACAAGTGATAAGACCTGGTTTCTGCACTCCAAGCCAGCCGTGAGAGACACAAATACCTGGTCAACTATGACAGGGCAGGCCGAGTGCAATAGTGGACCACAGAAAATGACAGTTATGGAGGTCCTGCTAAAGGTCAGGCCCTGAGCCCGGAACTGGGTATTCAGAATTGGAGATGATTTAGGCTCCACTCATTGATGGGTGGCAAATCTAGCTAAGATTTGGGCAAAGCATAGAAAGTAGAGCGATCACCCCCAGGCAGAGGGACCAGCATTTGCAAAGACATAGAGATGGGTTGAGGCGGGTGGCAAAGGAAGAGCCAGAGTAGGTAATGGGAAATGAGCCTGGAAAGATAAGCAGTGGAGGTAGAATCATGGAGGGACTTGAAGGCCTGGCCAAGGAGTTTAAACATATCCTAGAGAAGAACATGGGAGCCATTGATGGTTCACAAGGAAGAGAATGGCAGGATCTGCACTGATTGGAAAGGAGGCCCTATGCAGTTCGGAGGAAGACTCTGAAGGGGTAATAAAAGTCACTTTTCAAGGTCAGGCTGCACAGCTGCAGGAACAAAACACAAAAGGGGAATTAAAATCCAATTTCGCTGCTATTCACATTTTCCCAGTGATGTTTCTAACGTGATCCGGGAGGGGGTGTGAGGGCAGAGTGGATAAAGGGAAGGTGAGCGGGGAGGCCATTTAAATGTGTCAAACCCTGGTGATCATTTCGTATCTTATGTGCTCGCAGCCTTACTCTGCCCCCTTCCCTTGGTTTTTTTTTTTTTTTTTTTTTTTTTTTTTCTTGCGCTATGCGGGCCTCTCACTGTTGTGGCCTCTCCCATTTGCGGAGCACAGGCTCCGGACGCGCAGGCTCAGCGGCCATGGCTCACGGGCCCAGCCGCTCCGCGGCATGTGGGATCTTCCCGAAACGGGGCACGAACCCGCGTCTCCTGCATCGGCAGGCGGACTCTCAAGCACTGCGCCACCAGGGAAGCTCCTTCCCTTGGTTTTGTGTTGGGTTTTTTAACCTGGAGTCAGGCAAGAGTGATGAATGGATAAAAGCACATTGTAATCTCAGGTCAGCTGACGATCATGGGTTCAGTGCCTCCCAGGAGCTGCCTTCAGGTTTGGGGCAACAGCGCCATCCTGTGAGGCTGAGTACAGGAAGGTTGTGCAGAGTTGCATGGTGGCTGCGGAGTGGAAGCCAGGGTAGGTCACCTGGGTCCCGGGAAGAACGGCTGATGTGGAGCCATGGTCCCCACAATTCTGACTCTGTCTTGGGCTGGCATCTCCCAGTCTTTGTCCCTGAGTGTAAATGGACGGTTTGCTGGTGGCAGATAAGCAGCACTTGCTGTTAGGGCAGGGCACAAGGACATCAGCTTTCCACTCACAGCCCTGACTATTTTTCTCATGGCTGTCACATCCCCAAGCCCTCTCGAAGGCTCCAGGCAACAATACATATCCTGCCGCCATCTCCCTTCACACAGCAAGGTCACCAAACTTGGGTTTCAGCTTTCCATTTGTTCTCTGGCTTCCTCTCCCCACCCCACTCTGTTCCCCTCTTCTAAAGGCTGGGATTCTGGGGTCCCTAATCAGACATTAAAAGCAGTTCTTCACAGATGGGTACCTGCAGCTTTTGAAGGGACCTAAGCCCCATTCCACCCGCCCCCAGCCCTCCCACGAAGCTGCAGGTCTGACATGCCATCATATGAAGCCTCAGGTCATGCGAGGGTTTTGCAGGATGGAATTGAACACTGGGTAGGCAAGGTAAGATTGACATCTCCATTGCTTTTCTGGTGGAAATGAGGCAGCTTGATGGCACAGTGTGGAGACAAGATGTCCATCAGGGTAGTGTTGGGGAATCTGCAACCCGCAGCCTTGTGAATTCCAAATCTGGTCCAACACTGGCTGACAGGCAAAAAATTTTACTGTGTGTTTCTCTGAGAAGCTGTGTAAATCAAGTCACCTTAGAATATATTCTATGTGGAAGCTCACATTTTGTTGATTTAGTGACTAATGTATGGCATGTCTTATTTTTCAAAAAAATGTGTGTGCTATGTGCAAATAGCATTATGAAGTGGTATTTAATTAAACAGAAAATCCATGTGATGCCTGTTGAGTTTGAGTCTTTTATGTTTGGTTAATACTTTCCAGAGTTATCTACGACAGTGCTGTCCAATGGAACTTTCTGCAACGATGGAAATGTTCCATGTCTGTGCTGCCCAAACGGCAGCCACTATCCACGTGTGGCTATTGAGCACGGTATACATGGTGAGTGCAACCTAGGAACTGGATTTTTAGTTTTATTTAAATTCAATTATCTTAAATATCCACATATAGCTAGCTAGTGGCCGCTGTAGAAACCGTGCAGATCTAGAGATTCCCGTGATTGTACTTAAGGCTGAATTAAGCACTTTTTTCCCCCCCCGCCAGTGGTGAAGAGTATAGACTTGTGGCCACATTGCCTAGGTTTGATTCTTGGCTCTACTACTTATTAGCTGTGTGGTCTTGAACAAGTTGTTTAAACTTTCTGTGCCTCGTCTGTAAATCCGGGATAGTAACGGTCACTTCCTAAGGGTTATTATGGGGATCAGGTGAGTTAATAGCTGTAAAGTCTTAGAACTATGTCCGGCATCCCATCAGGACACTGTATAACACTGAAGCAATGGTTTCCTTATTTCCTTATTTATTTACTTATTCACTTTGAAATTGTATAATGAACACTTGTGATTTTTCTTAACTAATTCTAAGCAAATGTGTCTCTCTTCATTCTAAGTTTCCAATCTACAAAGACAGGTGTGGAATAGAGCCTGAATCTTTATTTATACACACACACACACACAGAATAATGTATACATACTCACACATTTAATAAGCACTTATTATATGCCACACACTATACTAAGACTTCATGTACATCTCAATTCTCCTTTATAACAATTCCATGAGGTAAGTTTTAACATTATCCCCATTTTACAGATGAAGAAACTGAGACTCAGGTCGTATAGAACTGCTATTTAGGCCCAGATCTGCCTGACTTCAAAACCTGAGCTCTTCATCCCTCTGCTGTGCTGCCTGTCCTGGTGTGGTTGAATTTCCATGGGGTAAGTTCACCACACATTAGGCTTTCACCTTTATCTGACAAATAAAAAGGATGTACAGTTTCTAAGAAGGATGCAGACTTAAAGAACAGAATGCCCCGCTGCCCCCAGTTCATATGTTGAA